TACATATATACATATATAAATATATTTATATATAAATATATTTATATATGCATATATCTTTATATATGTAATTATATATAAGTTAAAAATATAGAGAAAAATGGAAAATAATATAATAAAGATTAATGAAAAGAGATGAAGAAAAATTATTTTAAAAAAATATTTTTAAGAATATTTAAAAAAAAATCCATTTAAGAATTAAAAAATATTAAAAAGCTCGAAAAGAAAATAATGAAAATATATAATCTCGTCACGCTCTCATGCGATTATATCCGCGAAAAGGAGTGCTTTCTAATATTGTATTAATTCGGCCAAAGCAAAATATATCAATACATTAGTCTGGGGAACAGCCAAAAATACGAAACAAAAATTGAACACATTAAGTAAAAAATATACGAAATAAAGCATATCTAGCAAAAACAAAAAATAAAACAGAATTTACTTTGTATTTTATAAATTTTATAAACAAAATAAGATATTCTAGAATGAATAATACTTTACTGCTAACTGATTCATTAAATACCATAATTTTTTAATCTCTGCGACTATTAAAAACACACTAATTACCTTTTTCAATCGTAATTAATTTGCTGGAGACTAAACTTTACTTATCATAACTTTATAAATTAGTATTCTGTCCTTAACAATCATTTTAAGCATTAATGATTCTTTAATTCGTGTTAACTCAGCGAGTTTGAAAAGTGAATAGAGATTGTATTTACTCAGAAGTTAATATCAGCCGAATGATTTCTGAGAATTTTCATTTCAGAGTTAGAAAAGAATTATTTATCTTCGTCTACATGCATTAAATTATTTGAGATTTTATAAATTATTGCAATGGAAGATATTTTAATCTGCATTTCATCTCGTTTTGAATAGATTTTTAATTTGGTGAAACGATAAAATAGATTTGACTTTCTGTTCTAATAACGGTAATTATATTTTTATCGGTCTAGAATAGCTCCATTCTAGGAGTAATATTATTTAAATATTTTCTTAATTTCAAACAATTTTTTCGAATATTTCATATTCTTTACTGTGTAAAAGTTTAAATTTTTCTAAATTTATTTCTAAATATTTTTTTAAAATCTATTTTCATATTTATTTTTACTTGTCAATAACGGCTAAAACAGAAAAATATTAAAATTTTATAATAAATAGGAACTAAGTATAATATTTAACTCTAAATTTATATTCATTTAATAATATATAGCTCTATGAATAAAAGCTCTTATAAATTCTGGTTTATTTAAAAAAAGTTTTTATGAAATTTTTTTTTCTTGCTGGAATTAGCTTTTTTGATTAAAATCCTCCATAAAGAATGTGTAGCAATTTTTCTTTTTTAGTCACTTCAGAGTGAAGTGGAAATATTTTTTTTAATTATAACAATGTAGCTGGAATGAAAAGGAAATTTGTTTTAATATTACTATAACTCAAACTTTATGATTAAAGTAATAATAGAGATGTGAGATTTTCAGTTGAAAGTGTGAATTTATCTTCATAAGCAATTTAAAGATGGCGTTGCGTTTGAGTATATTTAAATGTCGGTGTTAATTGTACAGGCTGTTGGTTTGTCATTTTATTTAAGTAAATTTAAATTCAAAGTAACTCCCTAAGTTTCAAACTAGAGATTTTAGTTATTTATAAAAAAATGTTTTAATCCTTTCATTCATTAGTTTTTAGCCATAGATGTTGTAGATGTTGCATTTAAATATTCATTTCCAACACCTGCATTACAGTATATTTGACCTTTAAATAAACACGTTTTTTAAGGAATATTCAAATGAGAGATATTTTTGTTATCGTACTTTCAAACTGTGTCTTAGATATTGCAATTCTAATACAAAAGACTCAGCTCTTGAAATTTCTTTCAAAAAGTAGTTGAATAAGTGACGATTTACATGAAAATGTTGTTAAATAAAAGTAAACAGTGTATTTGGGTTTTCTTAGATCACAATCAAGAGAGTTTTTTTTCTTTTCTTTTCAGGTACTAGATAGCAGGGAATCACTTATTACGATTTCAGAAGCTAAAGAAGCAATTTTTACCGAAGATTCCGGTAAGTGACTTTTTATTTCTTTTTATTCCCTTTTCGATTCAATTTTCGCAAAAAGTCTTTGAATCCTGTAAATGCGTTTGTTTAGAAGCATTGAGTTTGCTCCATTTCATCGTCCTGTTTATACGATACGGAAATCTTTTTCTGTTTATTTAAACTTGTTTCAAACATTGAAAAACCGTGACAGAAAGATAAAAATTTAGAAGATACGATAAAAATTTAAATTTATACATAAAATAAATTACAAACATTGCATTCAAACTAAAAATACAAATAAAATTCAGGAATATATTTAAATGTGGACTTCTTTAAAAGCAACTTTGAATACAACTTTAGATGTGAAAAAAAGAATTTGTACTTAGACTTCTAAACTGAAAGAACTGTGCAATGCCGTGGTCGAGAAAACGCTAATAAAAGGAATTCAACTACTTCAATACAAAACCCAAAGTATTTTTAGTATACTTACAATATACAAAACTAATCCTACAACTACTATAATCCAATCCTATAGAAAATTCAATTCCTTCTCATTCATTTTTTTTCTTTCCTATTGAGCCTTTGACCAGGAATTTGATATGAGTAGCATTTGACATTTAACACAATTGACATATAACAATGGCTTTACTGCATAATAAAATAATTTCTTTTATGTCATTTAATAGAAAATGTGTATAGGCAGTATTTCATGCAAACTTCCTTTATCATTTAATGACAGATATCTTTGATTTATGGTATTTAAAACTATAAAAAAGTTTACTATGCCAAGCATAACTTTGTCTTCGGAAATATTTAAATTTTTCTCAACATTTAAGCATGCAACATTTTTCAATTATTTTGAGATGTTAGTTCAACCATCAAAAACTTTGACCCGTTCTGTTTGATCGATTCATAATATCTATCATACTTTCAAAATGCCATATTCCAAAGAGTTACTTCAGAGAATCTTATATATTCCTAAACGTAACATCTATTATTTTACTTTAAATTTACCACATCGGTACAAAAGTGTTTTTCAGCAAAGCTTTTTGTCCATATAGTTAGGCCAAAATAAATATTTAAAAATAATTCTGTATTTTTTTCCATAAAAATTAGCATTACAAACAGATAAAAAAATTAAAACATTAAAAATAATAATATTTGCTATCGATTCTGCAATCATTTATTTTAAATGATTACACTAGTTTAACAATAAAACGTTTTATTTTAGGTAGAAATAATTATTTATTTTCAATTATTATTCGTGTTACAAAATAAGACATTTTCTTTCAAGTACAGATGTTTTTTTCAAATCGCAATATGAAACATTATTAAACTTCGTAAAAAAGAAGGTATCAAATTTCGAAATTTGTTGAGTACCTTTTCGAAAGAAAATTATTATTCCCCTCTGAATAGTATTTTGAAGTCAAATAAGAAAATAAAATTTTTTTCAAACCAGATAAAAGTAGTGTTTTAATAAAAAAAAAATAATTTTCGTGTTTTACAAAGCAGATAATAATAATGAGCGTGATATCATGATGGCATTTCCGAGAAAAATGAGGAAGAATAATAAATTATACCAATTGTAACTGAACAGACAAACATGTTTAATAATTTAGCTTTTTTAACTAATAATGTCTACAGAATATTTAAAAAGTTGCTAATATAGTTCGTGAACAGTTCTTGCAAGATAATTATCATGCAAAGTTGAGTAAAGCAACAATAGTTTTAAACGAATAGCCTTCAAAGGGAAAACATCGATTTTTTCCGAAAAAAAATATCTGTTTTACACTTTATAAAAATACTTAGTATAAAAAATAATGTGTTATTTTTCATTTATTTATTTTATTTATTTATCTGATATTTTATATTTATTATTTTTTCTTGAAATTTGAAATTTTTGAGGAGTTGTAGCGACAACCATGGAAATGAATGGAACATACAAAGCATAAAATTTTTCAAAATCAAGCACATTTTCCTAGAAACCATTCTTTTTAACACCATCCCGTAAATACATCAGAAACTATTCATTCTGTTTATATTATGGATAGTTAAATTCTACATTACGAAATAAGTTTATTTATCTATTTTCTAAATATTTTTATAAGCTTTAGAAATTCATATTTTACGCAAGACAAAAAAAAAATCCATTCACACAAAAAATTTTAAATGAATGTACGAAAATACCTGTTAAAGGACTAAAAAGAGTCCAATTACCTACAATTCTATAACACTGCAAAAAATTCCGAATCAAATTATAGTATAAGATACCAGCACTTTAGTGCACCATCCATCAAATGCATTTTTCAGTAAGATCCATTTTTATCTTTCCTTTTCTTTCATAAATTTCTGCTTAAAATTACATAATAAACAAAAAGATTATTTTACAAGGTTTCCCTTCTCAACACCCAATTCCAAAGGAATTCAACCACAATCTTTGGAGTAGAGCGGTGCTATTAAATCATCGGAAATACAGTAACGTAACTCATAACATTTGTTACGAAGTTTTCTCTTTATGATTATTTTTGCATTTGCTTAACGTTTGGACTGGTGTCCAAAAATTAAGCATACTTTTACGCTGGATACATGACTAAAATTCTTTTGGACTCAAGTTTATAATTAAGTATCAGATGATCACATTAAAAAACTAAATTGTCACATATAAAAAATACTTAACACTTCGCTAAAAATACATAGCTGAAACATTTTTCAGTTTATATACAGATTGTGATACATTTACGAAGCTTAGAAGCCCCAGATCCCATCCGTGTAATTGAATATTTTTTAACTATGTGAGTAGAACTAAGCAGAGGCAAAGACTATTATTTTCAAGGAAAGAGATGCTCAATTTGTTTCAAGAAATATTCAGTAACAGTATAAATAATAATAATATTAATTAACTCATAAATTTAAATTCCAATAACCCCGTACAGACGTAGAAAATATCTTAATAATAACCGATACTTTTCTTAGAATTTTTCCCATTTAAAAAAAAAAAATTTAAAAAAAAATGCTTAAAAATGCGAAAATTAGTATTTTATTTATTAACCTTCAAAAAGCCACTAAATCGTTGTTGTAGAATGTTGGAATAGGCTTGAACTTGACCATATTTTTAATTTCATATTTGTATCGTATATTTTTAATAAAGTAATCAAAAAACTATTTACGCAAAAATACCTATCATCATTGAAAACTTCTGTTTTTAAAGATTTAAAAATGCATTAAGAGTAATATTTTCATTTTTTCCCCTGAAATTTATTGAGAGTGAACGATAACATGCAGCTGTTTCTTTTATGCTTCAATTTACCATTTGTACATTGGTTACCTGGCGTATTTTGGAGCTAAAAAGTAAAAACTTCGTGAAAGTTTAACTTTGGGCAAGATTCATGGAAATGACTTTTTTTTTTACAAAATATACTTTAGAAAATTGAGAACCCTCAGTGGTGAAATTTAATGCGTAAATCCGACCTTAAACTTCTTAAAATGATTAATCGATTATAATTGTAATCAATTAATCATCTATTATTATTATAATAAATTATTAAAATCAGTTACAATTATAATCTATTAGAATCGAACATTATTAAAACCAATCAAAATCGATCATTATAATCTATTTTAGTCTGTAAAATTTTTCTTACAAATTTTTTTCTATAAAAATATTTAATAAAATTCGTATCAAATAAGTATTTATAATACAAAAGGAAACATTACTTCCCACGCATAGTTTAATATTTATTCATTAATAGTTTCTATCTATAAATAATCTATAAAATTAAAATAAATATTAGCGATGTATCTTTTAAATATTTCTCCTGATTTCAGGTTTGAAAAATAATAGTTAGAAAAAAAATAGTTTTGTTTTTCACAAGCGAGAAAGTCTGAACAACCTTTGCAAAATATTTAAGAGAAATAAAAACGACATTTTTGAAATTAAAGACCAAGAAAAATCATTACTCCACAAGAGCTATTTTATTTTTATTTATTATTTTATTTTTTGTTTAGAAATAATTTCCACTGGCAATCCCCATTTACTCCAGGAAATTCCTGACGACAAATGGTTTAAAGGTAAGATAAATTATTGAAGTAAAACAAGTAACGGAGCAACATTAATGAATGAACTGATCGAGTTTCCAGCTTTAAAACTTTAGAGAAACTCATTTTATTATTTTGTTATATATTCGTTTTCGTTTATTATTTTGTTACTTTGTTATTATTTCCATTTTATTATTCATTTCATCATTACAATGCTATTTATATTATTGTTTCAATTAGTATACAGAATGTCTAATTTAGTATTTTAGACTTATTTTTATAAGATTATCATACTGAAGTATCACTGATTCAGATACTTATTAAGCTATTATTTTGAAAAACTGTACAACTGTTGCTTGTTGTTCCAGAGTAAATTTGGAACTTTGTTAAATATAATCTAAAATATCGCATAGAATTATGACCCATTTTCCATAAAATTCGATAATTCCAGTACTGTCGATTTATTGCGTTTTTTATTACATTATTTATTGCACATATTGTAAATATCTTAAATTAGTTCATAACATAAAAAGTCACTTTTATAACTAAATTATTATTCAAAACGGTTGGCTAAAACTGAAACGTGTACACTTGTGATTTTAGATTTTGCATTTATCATTTCCATAAAATTAACGGTTTTTGATGTTTGTATTAAATCATTTTTAAAGAAAAAGAGCACCAGTTCATTTCATTAATGCGTAAGCATTTCTCACTGAATTTTTAACTTAAAAAATAAAGACATTTTGAAATATGTTTAATGAAATTCCAAAACCTAGGAAAAATATGGTAATAATAAATATATTAAATATGCAAAATTTTTAAATTTTGGTAAACAATTTAAAACCAAATTTAAAATTTTTACTTAATTAGGGTTTAGAAGGTGAAAAAGAATTTCTAACTGCCCTAACCAACTCATGATCTTAATTGTTCGCAATAAATCTGCGTAAAGGAATTAAGCGGATTCATCATGACTTCTATGTAATATAAGACAAGAAAAGGTTAATTTGAGTTACAAGAAAATATTTGCTTTTTTATACAAGGTTGCTATATTATTATACAAGGCAAGAAAGGATTAATTTGAAATGCTTGAAGATATCTCATGTGGTTCATGTTAAAACTGCGTTTTTAAGATCGAAATCGTTCTTAATAAATCTGCGTAAAGAGACCCTTAAAACATTAATTAAAGTTTGCTTTCTTATTACGTTATTGAACGTCTTGGGAAAAGTATTCAAAACTTGACTTTATAAGAGTTTCATATTTATCTTTCGGTTTTTATTTCATTTCTCATTTTCTTTGTTTCCTTCCCGCACGCCCAAATAAAAACATAATTTTCAGGAGAATTCGTTATAATTTCTTAACCTATGGCACTTTACTTCTAGACCATGTTAGAAAAGTTGAAAATGAACAAACTAAAAGCACTTCCTTTTAGCATTTATTTGTAACTACAATATTTTTTCCCGTACTTTTAGATTGAAAAAAGTGTAGCATTTGGATATTGTCGTTTCAATCAAAAACTCCCCTGAGTAACATTAGAAATAAATTTAAGTTACTTTTCTCACGATTAACAAAAAATAAATTTACATTTGGCTACACATAAATGAAGTCGTCTTGTTCAAATTTGAAAATTTGGTTTAAGAAATCTTTCTGAAAGAGAGCATTTTTTGAAAAAAAAAATTGCGAAATAAAAAAAATTTAAATTGCTTTATTATGAGAAAACAGGTAATCTCAGTTTTGAGTTCTACACTACGAGCACTACATTTTTACATTTTTCCGGTGATCTATTTTTTACAATTCGTTTGATAATTTTTTTTCAGAATACAATAAAAAGAAATTTTACTGTTAAGTTACTTAAAACCTCATTGTTTTTCTTATCTCAGATATTATATAGTGCCAATAAATTAATGACCTCCTCATTGAGTGAAACTTTTTGACTTCAATGGCTTCATATCTATGACTTTATTAAAGTCATTGAATGAAACTTCGAAAATATATCACTCATCTGGCAAATTAACTAACAAAGAAGGAAAGAAAGAAAGAAGAAAAGGAAAGTGCTTTTCCTCTAAAAACATTTATAATTCAGAGAAATAGTAATAGAAAAGCATTTTTTGTTTTTGTTTCAATCAATAGAAATTTTTAAACGATACTTGAAATTATCCCAGTTCAATTTCGCATCTCATTTTGTTCCTCGGCACCTCAGGCTCTACAAAATCAGCCGAAACTAAAATACTAAACTTCTAATCGATAGGATTGGTCGATTTTTGCGGTCAATAACAGGAATAGTGCCCCAAGTAACTCGACGGTGCGCCGACTGTTTTCATTAACGTGTATCCTTTGCCCTGTTGCTTAGTAAGCTGACAGGATTTATTTTGAGGATTTCCGGAGTTTCATTTCCATGCTCGACAATTCGTATTGAAAGGATCAAAATTACGCAGAAGTGATGAACCTTTACTAAGCGAATAAAAAGCTTTAAATTAAGTTATATTAATAAAGCCGATAATATATGCAGATTTGAAACAGTTAGGCAAAATACAAGTATCTTAAGACGATTTTTAAAATAAAGGTAAAAATAATACTCTAGTTTTAAATTATCGCTTGAATTTAATCTTTCAAACTTTGAATTCATATTTCAAATCACATTTTAATGATTCAAAACACATTTCAAGTTAATATAGATATCTTGGGCTAATCAAAAAAGGTGTTGAAAACAGGAGCAGTTGTTTTTTTAATCGATCAAATAAAATTAAAAGAATTTATAGAAATATTGATCCAAAAAATAAAATCTCCAAACGCTTCCAAAATTCGATTAAAAACATGGATATTCAAGTAATAAAATTGAATTCTATGGAAAATTATTAAGTTAATTGCACGTTAAAATTATTAATAAATTTATTTACGAAAAAAATTGATTTTTTTTTGCAATGTGCAAATCCAATTCCGCAAATGCAAGTGGCTAAAATATCTTCTAATATTTCATTAAAACTTTTTTAATAAATGATAATAATTTCTTTAAAAATCATCGAGATTAAAATTTTATATTGAAAATTCCACCTCTTATTGAGTATAAAATTTGAATTATCCTGTATGTCACATCCTTGCGTAAATCCTGCTTCTGCCTAATCTAAGGTAGCAGACAAATCAAATATGGTTCTGTACTTCAGTAAGAACACGTCCTAAAAATATATATCCACTACTCTCTATTTACGCTTTTATTTCATATTTACGCTTTTATATCATAATTCTGGCAACTTAGTTACGAAAATATTTTTAAATTTTTGCAAGATGTCAGTAAATATATGGACCTCTTCGCTTTATTTATTCCTGTTTGTGCTTTATTTTATATTTTTCTTAACATTTTGCTTTATTTTGTATTTTTCTTGATTTTTTCGTGTTTTGCATGTTTTATTTTCGAATAGTTTTCTTTTTTTTCGGGGCTTCTCACTCTATTGTATTGATATATTTTGCTTTGTCCATATTAATACAATATTAGAAAGCACTATTTTGAGGATATAGTCGCGTGAGCTGTGATTCGTGTGATCTTCCCCATAAAAGTAATTTTTCTTTTGCCTATTTTCCTTCCTTGCACAATCATATTTCGGTGTATGAACTTTTATTGTAAGGCACTATCATTTGTTATTTAATTCTGTCTTATGATACAAGATAATATTTGTAGAAAACCCCTTATGATTTTGAGTTTCTTTTAAAATACACAAAAAGACTTTGAAAATTGCTTGGAACTTTTTAAAATTTTAAGCTATTCAAATTACCAATAATGATTCACCATAAAATTATGAAGAAAAAAGTTGTTAAAACTATTCAGCGCATGCTCAGTATTAAAACTACTTTCATTACTTATACATTGCACAGTTTCCAACGAATTTTTTTTTCAAATTTTATAAAAATTATCTAATAAAATTAATTTTAAACTGCTGTAAAATTTTGTTTTATTTTTATTGAAATTTTATAGTTTTAGCTAAAAAAAATTTAAGTTGAAAATATTAGTTTCTTGATGAAAATGTTTTATAAAAATAAGAAGACTTTGTTAATAAATATGAGAAATCGCATGATTCAAACACTTTTGAAGTTATAAAATTACTCTTTAAGTATTTCTGGAGAAATATGAAAAAAATATATTAGCATAGAAGTGTTTCCATTATATTGTCCATCCCGTACTTATATATATATATATATATATATATATATATATAAAGACAGAAAAGACAAAATGGATAAAAGNCTCCCCGAAAGCATTGTGATAGCTTATATATATATACGTACTTATATATATATATATATATAAAAATAAGTACGAATCTTGATTGGGGAAAAAACACAGGGGATTTCTTGTTCGGCTGACCACCCAACTAGATCACCTTTTCCAGAACCCCACAGCCCGAGGTCAAGAAAACTGGGATGAGAGCAGCAGGCCATGATTCTCTTTAGGCTGCTGCACCACTGAGTGTTGTTTACATTGCAGTCTGTTACAGATCAAGACTTAAAAAATCTCTTTTTTTTTACGAGATCGGTCGGTGGAAATGCTAATATAACATTTTAAACATTTATCATTCTTATTTAAAAAGAAATTTAACAATACAAAATATATGAATAACGTAAATGAATAACATTCTTCAATGCCCAAATGGTACTTATTTTTTTAAACTGAAAATGGGCATTTGTTTACATTTTTAATGTCAATGCAAATGTAATGTTAAAGCAAAAAGAGATATAATAAACTAAAGCTTACTCGCATTAGATACTTTCTGAAAACCGATTCTCCATTTTTTCACTTACACTAATCTCATTTACTCTTGTCTATGTTAAAAAAAAATGAGGCTTTATCTAGAAATTATTATCCTTAATAGAATTCACTAAGCTTTCTGCAGAAGACAGCTGTTTGAAAACATCGATGAGGAGGGAATCTAAGTAGGAATCAAAACATTTATCATAAACTTTTCCAGTAATTTCTATTGACGTATTCAGAGAATACCAGGAAACACAAAAATTGTCTATCTACTGTGCAGCAAAAGTTTATTCAT